ATTCGAAAAAAAATTGTTTTGTTCGATTGGCAAAAAAAAGTTTTTAATTTGTAAACCTGTGTAATTAATATGTGTAACTTGTATAATTATTTTTTTATTAACATTCACTAAATTGTCCGGACTAACTTTTTACTATTTCAGACTAATTCCGGATTCACTAGTTGTATACGAACCGTATAACCTGACAATAAACCGCACTATTGCCGATAAATTCTGGATTCACTAGTGTTAAGAATATTAGGCTAAAAGGAAAATGTAAATTTATTTTAAGTTAATTTTGAATTGTAATTGCCGCCATTCAAACTGCAGCTTCATGTAAATGTATTTTTGACTTGCGCAGTATGCGTGCGAGAAGCATGAAGAAGGCCAGCTTATGGGCTATAGATATATATATATATAAGATACATTTTCACAACGCACAAGTTAATACCGCTTTTTTTGTAAAATCCACAAAATACAAGTTCTTCAAATAAAATTCTTTAAGTTCAACGAAATTAACAAGTCAGATAAAATTCAATTCTCCTTCTTAACATTCTAAAACATGGTCCTTCGAGCGGGATGGGAGAAGGAAGTGAAAAGTGATTTTTCGTTGAACACATTCTCGCGTCCTGAAGTGACGCCATGTTTCTCGCATTGTTCAGGTTATGAGTGCTTCATGTGTTTATTCTAACCTGCAATTTCTTAACGTTTTTTCACAAGTCTCGTGATAAACAAAAACAAAAAACAAGTGTCTTTTACAAACTTTTACAAGATTTACTAATTTTCTAAAGTTTCATCATCGCTACAAAGTTTTTCTACAAAAATGTCGGACCGTAAATATGAGGTCATAAAACAAGACCAAGAACTTCTTTTTAGTTCTATTCAAAAAATCGCTAATCGAGTTCAGTCTGCAATCAATCCACCCCGCCAGTTATTGCTTGGACGTTTATCCAATTTACAAGATTTTTGGGAGAAATGTCGAGTAAATCACGTGCAGCTAACTGCAACCACACAATCGGCCACTGAAATCGACGAAACTATTGACATGTATGATCCTGACAAATTTTTCGAAATCGAGGAGACTTACGAGGATGCCGTGGACTTCATCCTATCCAAACTACCAGATCAACCGATTATTCAGAGAGCAAGTGACAGGTCTCCATCTGGAGATCATTCGACGGCTACAAATGCAAGGTCATCGACGTCATCAGTTCATCTGCCTTGCATCAACATCCCCACATTTTCTGGATCGTATAGTGAGTGGCTTTCATTTCGAGACTTATTTACTTCGCTAATTATCAATAATAATTGTATTTCCGACGCAGAAAGATTACATTATCTTAAACTCAGTTTAAAAGACGAAGCATTAATTATCGCTCAAAATCAGCCCGGTAATGCTGATGACTTTAAATTAATTTGGCAAAATCTAGAATCACGGTATAATAACAGTAAAGCTTTAATTTTTGATTATTTAAAAAGGATTACTGATTTTCCGGATATAACTGTTGATTTTTTAAACAACTTAAAAAGTTTACGCAATTTGATTATAACTGTTACTACCGCTTTGAAAAATTTACAACGCCCTATTGATGAGGGGAACGATCTTTTTATTTTTATTCTAATAAACAAACTCGACAATTGTCTCGTGATCAGTAGGAATTGCTCGTCAGTGATACAACAGATCCTCCCTCTCTCGATCAATTTAATAAATTTTTAGATTCACGCATTCGTGCACTTGAAGCATCTGCGACAACAAAAAAGCGTATTGAAGTAAAAAATGTAAATAATTCGTTTCAGTCATCATCTATCTCTCGATCAAAAATTCATGCGCATCAAAGTTCTTCAAAAATTCCGTGTATTTTATGTAAAAAAGATCACAATTTATATCTTTGTCCGCAATTTAAATCTAAATCAGTTGATGAACGCTCTGAGTATATTCGCTCAAATCAAAGATGTTTTAATTGCTTAGGAAAACATCATCGCAATGTGTGTGAGAGTAAAAATGTTTGTTCTGTGTGTAAGAAACAACATCATTCGCTTTTACATCGTGATCAAAATGTAAATACCGCTTCTTTGAAAGAATTGAAATTAAAAGAAAGTGACTACACACAAGATGCTTCAAGTTCACAAAACAAATCAGAAATTGAATCTTTCAAACTTTCTAATCACCTTAATGCTACAGAAAAACGAACAGCTGTTCTTTTAGCGACAGCTCGAGTAATTGTTGAAGCGGCTGATGGGCGCCGAGTACAAGTTCGTGCCTTGCTCGATCAAAGCTCCGAGGCTTCTTTCGTGTCTGAATCTGTTGTTCAATTGTTGCGACTTCCTCGAAAATCATCAAATGTTTCTGTTTCCGGATTGGGCGGAAATTTCTCGAAAAAAGTCTTATTTTCAGTCCCTCTTGTAGTGAAACCTGTCAAATCGGGATCTGAATTATTCACAACCAGAGCGTTCGTTTTGCCCAAAATCACCAGTTACATTCCGACAGAATTCGCTCTCGCAAATATTCCGCCAAACTTACGTGATTTAGAATTTGCAGATCCATGTCCATGGTCTACTGAACCAATCGATCTTCTCATCGGTGCTGATTTATATGGCAAGACATTGTGCACCAATGTAATTTCTTTAAAATCTGAAAACCTTGTTGCTCAATCAACAGTTTTCGGCTGGATCCTTTCTGGACCAGTTCAAGTGCCCCTTACTCAATCGCATCATGTCAATGTTCACCTCTGTATCAATGAAATTGATAACAATCTGCGCAGATTCTGGGAATTGGAGGAAATTCCATCTAATCCCATTTTGACTAAGGCTGAACGTGAATGTGAGACTTATTTTTCTGAAACAACTGAAAGATTGCCAAGCGGTAGGTTCCAAGTCAAACTTCCTTTTAATCAACCTCCAACGGTGTTAGGTGACTCTCTTAAAATTGCTACTGCTTCTCTCAACAAGTTAGAAAAGAGATTCGCTCGCAACAGCAATGTCGCTTTTGAATATGCGGATTTTTTGCATATTTATGAAAAAATGGGACATATGACTTGCTTGGGTCCTTTAAGTGATTCCAACTCGTAAAAGGTTTTTATTCCTCATCATTGTGTAATACGAGAACTCAGTCAAACAACCAAATTAAGGGTTGTTCTTAATGCATCAAGCCCAACCGCTAATGGAATTTCGCTTAATGATTGTTTACACATTGGTCCCAAATTGCTAAATGATATTTTGTCTATTCTTTTAAGGTGGCGTCAACATCAATTCGTTCTCTGTGCCGACATAGCAAATATGTTTCGGCAAATTTTAGTGTCTCCAGAGGATCGGAAATATCAATGCATTCTCTGGCGCGATTCTCCTGATCTTCCGCTCCAAGTCTACGAATTAAATACTGTCACGTATGGCATGAGAAGTTCTCCGTACCTGGCAAATCGTGTTATGCGCCAATTAGCTCTTGACGAACAAAAAAGATTTCCCATAGCTGCTTCTGTTCTTTATAACGACACATATGTAGATGACACTTTTGTAGGAGGATCGGATAAACCTTCGACAATAAAACTAAGAGACAATCTTATCGAATTGACCAAACTTGGAGGATTTCCTTTGCGTAAATGGTGCAGCAATGATTCGGATTTGCTTCAAGGTTTATCTGAAATGGAACACGGAATAGAAGTAGAGATTCCTCTCGGTGAATCTTTAGGGTTTAAAGTCCTAGGAATTTTTTGGGAACCTTCTACCGACGCTTTTATTTATCGCTTTTCAAAATTGTCATCCGAGAATCCATCAAAACGTACTTTATTATCAGCTGTTGCAAGTCTTTTTGATCCAATGGGATGGATTTCTCCCGTTACAATTACGGTCAAAATTCTTTTACAAAAATTGTGGTTAAGAAAACTCGATTGGGATGATGAATTGCCCTCTGATTTGGCTCACGAATGGCGTGAATTTTGTGAAAAATTGCCCTGTTTGTCTCAGGTTTCGATTCCCAGGTGGCTTACTACAAATAACAATTTGACATCAATTCAGATACACGGATTCTCGGATGCCTCGAGTATCGCTTATGGTGCTGCAGTGTATTGTCGTGTCATCGACTCTTCAAAAAATATTTCAGTAAAATTGTTAATCGCAAAAACAAGAGTTGCTCCGCTCAAAACCGTAAGTATTCCTCGCCTAGAATTATTAGCCGCTACTCTTTTATCAACTCTTATCAAATTCGTTATCAAATCTCTTAAATTTATCGATGTACCGATTTTTTGTTGGACAGACTCTACCATTGTCCTCAGCTGGTTACAAAAAGAACCATCCACGTGGACAGTATTCGTCGCTAATAGGGTGTCTTCGATTCAAACAGACTTACCTACAGCCGTATGGAATCATGTCCCATCTAAGGACAATCCCGCGGACAGCGCATCTCGTGGTATTTCTGCAGAAAATTTTGATTCTTTTTCATTATGGTGGAATGGTCCACCCTGGCTTTCCGAAACACCCGAATCTTGGCCCCGACGTAATTTTAACATTCAAGATACCACGCATGAAAAACGCATTTCTTCGCACGCAGTGGCAACAACCAATGAGGATTGGCAAATGACATTATTGTTAAAACTATCCTCATGGGCAAAATTGTTGCGAATTACTGCATATATCTTGAGAGCAGTAAAATCGTTCAAATCAAAATTAAAATTCGAAAAAGGATTATCTGCAAGTGAAATTCACGATTCCGTTATATTTTGGATTCGTTATATTCAAAATCACGTTTTTTTCGAGAAATCGCCTCATTGAAATCAAATGAAACTCTTCCACGAAATTCAAATTTGAAAAATTTGAATCCGTTTTTAGATAAGGACGGAATTATTCGGTTAGGTGGCCGGCTTTGTCAATCAAATCTTCAAATTTACAAAACTCCCCCCGCGATATTACCTAAACATGTCTTGTCTCAACTTATATTAGAGCAACTTCACAAAAATTTGCTACATGCTGGCCTTCAATTGACCCTTTCCATGTCTCGAATGCAGTATTGGATAATTGGAGGTAGAAGCATGACAAGGTATATAATAAATCGCTGTGTTGTTTGCGTAAGTGATAAAGCTCAAACTGAAAATAACATCATGGGTGAACTTCCACCTCCACGAGTCTCTCCTTCAAGACAATTTTCTCATACGGGTATTGATTATGCCGGGCCATTTATGGTAAGAAACAATTCTGGTCGTGGATCGAAATCCCATAAAACTTGGATCGCTATTTTTGTGTGTCTTTCAATTAAAGCGATACATCTAGAATTAGTTCATGATTATTCGACACCAACGTTTTTGGCAGCTTTCAGGCGCTTCACATCTCGACGCGGAATTCCAAGTGACATTTATAGCAATAATGGCACAAATTTTCGTGGTGCCGATCGTGAGCTTTCGAAGACCTTTCAATCTCTTAAGAAGGATTCAGATCTGGTAAATTGTTTTGCGTCAGATGGAACAACTTGGCACTTCATGCCACCTATAGCTCCGAATTTTGGTGGCCTATGGGAGGCTGGTGTCAAGAGTGTTAAAACTCATTTGCGAAAAATATTGTTAAATTCGACGCCAACTGCTGAAGAACTGACTACGTTACTTTCCCAAATTGAGAGTTGCTTAAATTCTCGACCGTTAGTCGCGATTAATGACGATCCAGAAAGTCTCGATGTTCTTACACCGGGTCATTTTTTAATAGGTTCGGCCTTGAAAATTGTACCTTCTCCGTCGCTTTTGAATGTAAACACTAATTACTTGACTCGTTGGCAATTTTATCAACGTATTTTAGAGACATTTTGGAGGTCATGGAGTAGAGTTTATTTACAGACCTTGCAACAACGAGTCAAGTGGTTCTTGAAAAAACCTAATCTAAGAATTGGCGACATAGTTTTATTAAAAAATGCGAATTCTCCACCTGCGAAGTGGGATTTAGCACGTGTGATCAAATGTATATTTGGACGAGATGGTGTTGTACGTGTAGTACACGTTAAAACTAGTAAATCGGAATATGTTCGACCGATTTGACAATTAGTACTTTTACCGACTTCGAAAGATTCCAATTTGTCCGAGACTGTTTAATAGTTTAAGTTAACTGTAAACCGATTTAATTTCTACTCTTATAGATCATGTATCTTTATTTTTATTATGAATGAATGTGTTTTCTTTGCGATCTTGATACAAGTTCGCAAGGTGGCCGGTATGTTAAGATATTAGGCTAAAAGGAAAATGTAAATTTATTTTAAGTTAATTTTGAATTGTAATTGCCGCCATTCAAACTGCAGCTTCATGTAAATGTATTTTTGACTTGCGCAGTATGCGTGCGAGAAGCATGAAGAAGGCCAGCTTATGGGCTATAGATATATATATATAAGATACATTTTCACAACGCACAAGTTAATACCGCTTTTTTTGTAAAATCCACAAAATACAAGTTCTTCAAATAAAATTCTTTAAGTTCAACGAAATTAACAAGTCAGATAAAATTCAATTCTCCTTCTTAACATTCTAAAACAACTAGTTAAAATTAACTGATTAATTTCGGACTTTATCGGACCAACTCCGGATTCACTAGTTGTTCACAAACCGTATAGATTTCGGATTTTTTCGGATTAATTTCGGGTGACAAAAACCTGACCATAAACCGCATTGTTTCGGACAAATTTCGGATTAGTCCGAAATCTGTCCGGTTTTTTAACCAGGGAACAGAATGTGATAAAAATCAGACAAAGACAAAATTTGTCTAAGTTTAAGAATCCAATCGTCTCTTCTTATATAGAACTGGTAAAACAACTTGCTAACGAGAGGAAGAAACTTTGACACACCCTGGCGGCACTTATCTAAAGTAATTTCGAATATATACTTTAAAGCAGCGCGGGACATTTCAAAATCGAACACCAGAGTGCGCCAGAGCTTCTTTCACTCACTAGCAAGTTGTGTTACCAGTTCTATATAAGAAGAGACGCTTGCATTCTCAAACTTAGACAAATTTTGTATTTGCCTGATTTTTATCACATTCTGTTTTTAACAGAGTGTTCTAATTAAATTAATTATTTTTCCTTCTCTAGATTAGTAATTCAACTTTTTTTTTTGAAAAATTTTTGCTATGTGTTGGTATTTGTAAAATATTGATTTCAAACGTTGCTTCAATATTGGTAACCAAGGAATAACCAAGCATTAATTTAATTTTAAAGCATTGGTAAATAATTGGTCATTAACATTGGTCCAATCTTTGTTGCCAATGAATAACCAAGGCTTGGAAAGTCCGGCATTTGCCTTGGCAGCCAATAGTGATCCAATATTGGCTGCTAGTGCTTGGCAAAGTCGTGATCATCCCAAGACTCTAGCAATAATAGCCCAATATTAGTTGCCAATGTTTGACCAAGAAAAAACTGTTGGCAGCCAATATTGGTCCATTATTTACCCAATGGTGAGCATTGGCAATTTCCCATTGGGTCGGTATGAAATGAGAAAAAAAATTTCGATTTTTTACGTGTTTAACCCTTTGCCAGACGAACTTTGCCCCACCCCGGAACTGCCAGACGTACATTTTTACACTCGTATAGATGTAAACTTTCGAGTTATGATGGTTTTAATCGGTATGAAATGAGAAATATTTACATTATTTTTCACCTATTGACCCATTTGCCGCATTTTCGAAGGGGTGCCAGACGTACTTCGCCTTACCCCAGAACTGCCAGACGTGTATTTTTACACTTGTTTGAATGTAAACTTTCGATTTCTAAAGGTTTTAATCCGTATTAAATGAGAAAAAAAATTTCGTTTTTTTACGTGTTTAACCCTTTGCCAGACGTACTTTGCCCCACCCCAGAACTGCCAGACGCGCATTTTTACACTCGTGTAGATGTAAATTTTCGAGTTATGAAGGTTTTAATCGGTATGAAATGAGAAAATTTTACATTATTTTTCACCTATTCGCCCCCCTGCCCCAGCACCGGCCTGCCAGGCGTGGGTTTCTGTTATTTACATGTCTTCAGTAATCTATATACTCAAATTTTCAGCCGGTATGAAATGAGATAGTTGATTTGGTCGCTATAGCTCCCGGACTATTAGAAATGTTAAGTTAATGTAAATAAAATTGGGATAGGTAAATCGAAAAATATGTTGAATGTACTATAAAGTAATAATAATTAATATGTGTAACTTGTATAATTATTTTTTTATTAACATTCACTAAATTGTCTGGACTAATTTTTCACTGTTTCGGACTAATTCCGGATTTACTAGTTAAAATTAACTGATTAATTTCGGACTTCATCGGACCAACTCCGGTTTCACTAGTTGTTCACAAACCGTATAGAGTTCGGATTTTTTCGGATTAATTTCGGCTGAAAAAAACCTGACCATAAACCGCATTGTTTCGGACAAATTTCGGATTGACAGATACAAACACTCAAAAATTGAATTTAAAAAATAACTTGTTAGAGAATCAAGTTACATATGCAGATCGATTAATTTTGAGAAGTGCTATTCCATTCTAATAATCCAAATAATATTATATATTGAATTTTCAAAAATTAATGACATCAAACTACAAAACTACTGAAAACTTCTTCGTAAACGACACATTCTGACGTTAAATAGGAACAGTTTAAATGCCAGGTAACAAATTTTAAGTGATTCAAACAGATTTTCAAGACAATTGTTCCTCTATATTGGATCCCCACGTTTGAATTAGAAAATCTAAAGATATATTTGTAACAAGAGGCACAAAAAATCCCCGAGTAACAAGTATCAAGAAAATCGAGTAAATCTGTTAAATGTATGTTCGCCATATTGAATCCGACATTTTGTATTTTGATAATCCTATTACAGATTCGTTATCAGCGACCTTAAAAACCCCTGAGTAACAATTTTCAAGTGAACCGAAACACAAAGTTTCAGTGCCCAGTAAGAAACGAAAAATTGAAAAGTATTAAAAAGATTCTATTCTTTTGAATGCCATTTCTGTCCAATACTTTTCTATCCAGTGAGAGCAATATAAATAGTAACGATATCAATCCTCTTGAATACCCAGTAAGAAAGCAAAGATTAAGAAGCATTAAAAAAATTCTATCCTTTTGAATACCATTTCTGCCCTATGCTTCTGAATTCCGCGACAGTAGTATAATAATATAATACTAATATTATTGACATATAGAATGTTCAATTACTTTCAAATAACTGCACTCATGAATTTATTTGCTATTTTAAAAAGGAATAATTATTAAATTATCAGTTAAGAGGGTTAAAAGTGTTTAAAGGTCTCTGAAATTTTTAGGTTATGATTTATTGTCTAACAGAATAACGGCCCTGACTCGTTTAAATGACGTTAAATTGGTAAACAATCAATTTTTCAGCAAGTTTTTCTTTGAACACAAACACTTTTTACAAAATCTGCCACTGTATGTATCTTATAAATTACAAAAATCCAGAAGATTGCTTGAATGCATGCAGAAACGCGGTTCCAATGAAAAATTGAAAAGTGATATAATGACAGGCTGTAATAATTTCGGATGGGATAATTGGAAAGCATTCAGAAAAAAATTTTGTCTTTGTTAAAAATTACAAAAAGAATTGAATAGCATTCATTTTTAGACGAAACGTGGTCCTATCATGGTATAGAAAAGTATTGGACAGAAATGGCATTCAAAAGTATTGGATAATTTCTACTACACCATACAGAGTTTGAATTATTTCAATCCTTTTCAATTTTTCGTTTCTTACTGGGTGGTTGCAGGCGATAATGGGTTAATGCGTGTTACAGTTAATAATTTAAATTTTCTGAATAGTGAAAATGTCAGTTGTAATAAATATTTACTTCATTTTTCAAGACGAACGTTTTTTCTTTTTAAAATTTTGTTGTATATTGTAAAGGTAGCGAAAAAACTTCTAATTTTCATTTTTGAAAAAACAAAAAAGAATTTTATTCCTCTTTAAGTCGCGGGACCCCGATAAATTCTGTTGGAAAATAATCGTTACACTTCCAGGAAGTAATAAGAAAATCAAGAGGAAAAAAACGCTGGGGTTTTTGAGAAAATTTGATTTAATTTTTTTTCGAAAAATAGCCGCCATTTTGTTAAATTTAAAAAATTTTTAATTAAACCTGTGGGATTTCAAAGAACATTTAATCCGGAATTAGGGACAAAAAGAATCATTGCATTAGAGGCAGATACATGAAAGATACAATAATTTTAATATTTTTTACCGTCATTTTCTTGAAATCAGACTTCGCAGTTTTAAAAATTCAAATGCGCCTAACTTCGTTAAATAATTTTTTTTGCAAAACGGCAAAATACGTGTCGTTTAAAATTGTGTGAAAAATAATATATTTCCATAAAAAACGATAATTTTACTTGCATACATATAGCCTGTCTGAATTGAAATGGAATCAACCAGAGGCTGATTTTTTGAAGCGTTTTTCAGAAATTTGTTTAAAAGAGAAAAAATGATTCAAATTTATTCAAACTTGGACATTATTTTAGTCTATATTTAATCAATATTTCATAATTTTTTGAATTTTTTTAGTATAAAATGTAGATGTTACAAATTTTTCTGTTATACACTGCACCGATGAATTTCGTTAAAAAACTCTATTCAAAAATTAAAATTATGCAAATTTTGTAAATAATTTAAAAAATAATATCGTTAAAAAGTCGTAATTAATAAATAGAAATTGTGAAAATGTTTTTTAAAAAGTGTGCATTAGGAAAATATTTTTCCTTATTTATAAAAAAACTTGGAATAATTTTTGATATTTAAAAATTTGCAAATTGTGTAGATAATACGAATTATTAAAATAATTACTAAAATTTTCCTTGCCAACAAGAATGATTTTATTCAATGACTATTATAATGTGATAACTAGTTTAGTTCATTAAAGTAATACAATTAATTCAATCTAAACTCTTAGTTTATCTAGTTCCTACCAGTTTTCACTTAATCAAAACCCATTTTGCAGTGATAATTTCTGATAAAAGGCCTTTAAAAAGAAGACAAAATAAAAGTAAAATATTTCAGAAAATTAC